TATGAGGTCCTTTTCTGTCTAATGACCATTGTTATTGTTCAGTTTTCGGTCCTTTCCAACTTTTTGTGAGCTCATTTGGGGTTTTCTTGGCAGAGATACTGGAGTGATTTGCTACTTCCTTCTCCAGCTCATTTTACAGATGGGGAAACTGAGGCAAAACAGGGTTAAGTGACTTGTCCGGGGTCACCCAGCTAGTAAATATCTGAGCCCACATATGAACTCACAAAGATGAGTCTTCCAGACTCCAGACCTGGCGTCTCATCCATTGCACCACTTAGCTGCCCCAGTAAGTGGGCATAAAGCTGGAGGAACTGAATCATATGTCAATCTTGATGTTTTGCTGTAAATTCTAAATCAAAAGAGAGAAGAAAGTTGTAGATAAATGGAAGGATGACTCACAGGTATCCTAGAAGAGGCAAAGAAAAGTGTTGATGGGATGGATTTTATCATCTATCCGAAGATGTCAAGAAACATTTCCTGGTATGTTTGGTCGTTGGGTGTTGCAGTGTTAATGATAAATTTTTGCAGAGAGGCTACCATGAAAATAATTGCCTCTTATATACTAACACTGGTTGAAGATAAAAGAGCTAAAGAAATTCTATGAAATACTTAATTAGACCTTCCAAATTAAGTCAATATATACTCTGATACTTGGTTGTTTTTTGTTTTTGTTTTGACTGGAAAGGTAGGAAAAGGTGAGAATGGGGTGAAATAAATAGAAAAGCCATAGTTCAGGAAGGAAAAATAAGAGGCCACAGACTTGTGTTTGACCCTGAAACTTTGAGACTCTATATTACGAACACTTTCAATAATTGGTAGACACTGAACATGGTGAGTACCAACTAACATTGCAGAAAACAAAATAGATTGTATTTTAATAGATAGGAAAAGATGGATTATTATTGATATAGGAGTCATCCAAGAATCAGCTGTATTTGTACAGTCAAACCATGATTTGTCATAGCTAGGATTAGAAATAATAAAGCACAAGAAGAAAGAAGAATGGGAAAAAGATGGTATACAGTTGAAATAATCAGTCCTGAACTATTTACCCCTGCTTTTTTTACTTCAGCTGAAGTATAATATATTCTGCTCCAGCCTTTTACTTTTACTCTGTGTGTATCCCTCTACTTCAAGTGTGTTTTTTGTAAACAATATATTATAGGATTATGGTTTTTAATCCTCTCTGCACTCCACTTCCATTTTATGGGAGAGTTCATCCCATTCACATTCACAATTATGATTACTATCTGTGTCTTTCTCTCCATCCATTTTTCCCCCATTTATGTTTTTCTCTCTCCTTTCTCAGTTCTGAACTATTTAAATTAGGAATTGACAGTCAAATGGAAAATGGTATACAGAAATGACATTAACACTGATTAAAATAATTTTTAAAGAAGTCTAACCAGTGCAATTTAGTTGCCACAACAAAGAAAATAGCCATAGTCAATAAACAGATATTTATTGCTCCTACTTTGTGCAGGGTCTGTATTACAAAACAACTAGTTTACTCACCAAATAGAAAAAAAAAAGGCTGCCAAAAGCACCATTAGGTTAGAATTTAAATTTTTGTTTAGACTCTTACAAAGGATGATGGACAATTATGAGCAGTACTATCTAATAAAGAGATAGGGTGAATAGAGATAGATCCCTGACCTGCAGCATTAGAGTTTCCTCATCTGTGAGTTTTTGGCCAACATATTAATGTGCTTATTAGAAAGAAATCGTACTAAAGAAAGCAAAGAAAGGAAGAGGAGCCAGATGTTGGACCAAGTGTTTATGGAGAAGATCTGTGCTGGAGCTGACAACAATTGTGAGGGCATTGTGGGACCAACATACAAGGCAACTGAGAGCATCAGTGACTATCAGTCAGTATGCCTTCGATCTCATTAGTACAGAATTTTTACAAGAGGCATCTATCTACACATGAATCAAGGGGATCCTCAGAAAGTAATTTGGAGGAGCAGGTAGGCTTTCAACAAGCAATATCCAACAATGGACCACGTCTTTTCCATTTCACGTAAAGAAGGTCATACTGTGCTTGTTTCTTGATGATAAAAATGCACTTGATTTTTTTTTTAGAGCAAAATGCTACCATATAGATTCTTTTTAAAATATGAAACAAAAGAAATAATACTGTAAGTGACCCTCTGATTAAAAAATATTAATTCTAATACGGAAACATGGAACGGGATGTATTTTTGTCAAAAGTGCTTGCCATTATGATGGAAGAGATTACCATAGAGTCCAAGTTGAAAAAGAAAAGCCAGGAAATGGTCATCTTCCTCCTATGTGTATTTGACATTGTGCCAATTTCATCAAACCCCAGAACACTGCCGAACTGTCTCTTGAAAGACACGTGTAATCACTCAAAAGAGTTGTCGCCCTCCCATTCATAAAGGAGAGACCAAGTATGTGGACAGCCATTACTGACATTACAAGGTGTTTCAATGGGCAACTGTAGAGCTGTTACTTTGTACATCTCAACAGACAGTACAGATTAACAGGTTAGACCCAGAGTTATACAAGAAAGGGAGAGCAGATTGTATTATTGTCTCTGGGAAATTGAAATTGCTCCATTCATGATCTCAAGCTTACCGTGAAAGCAAATGCCCATTTAAAAATACTGTCATCCTACTGGTCTTACTTTTTATATAGCAGCAAAACGTGAAATACAACAGCTCCAAAAAATTTTAAAGGATAGCACAGGAACAGTACGTTCAGGCTGCAACACGAGAAACTTGAAAGAAGAACAGGAGTAAAACTTGTCATCAAGGAATTGTGTGATAAGGAGAGAAGAGAGACTGGTCAGGTGGTAAGGGGGAAGGGTGATGTGTCAACAGCCAGAGCTCCACTAGGGCCTTTGTGATGGCAGGAGAGATGGAAGAAGCCCTCCAGCAGGTTGGGCAGATCTCCTGTGTGGAATGTGGTGGCAGGACCTGGGCAGGAGTCTCACAGGGGGAGGCCTGGACAAGCTGTGATCTGCATCACTGCATCACTGAAGGGAACTTCCAGCAGATCCATTTGAGTACATCAGACTCACTGCTCTTGTCTTCCCTCTCTGAATTTGCAACCTGTAATGTGAAAGCACCACATACATGCACATAGACAGTCTTCATATCCTTCACCTAGCTGGCTAGTCTGTAGGACGACTCAATATATCACCTCTTTTCTCCTTCCTTTTATACTTCTTATTCTGGTGCTATCCCTTCTCTCAAATCTGTTTCTTCCAAACAAGCTGTACCCTTCCATAGCTATATTCCGTTCATGAGTCCTATCCTTTTAAATCTTTGTTCCTTTTTCCCAATGTTTGAGAACTTAAAATAACTCATGTTTGCTTTTTATTAAATGAAAACCTAAAACCCAGCCTTCATTACTACTGATGATGACAAACTAATTTCTATAGCACTTTAAAGTTTACAAAGCACTTTACAAAGCACTTTACTTAAAACAACTCTTTGCAGGTGGTAAAATTATTTGCATGTAGCAGATAAGGAAATTGAAAACTACAGAAATTTAGTTAAATTTACCCAAATAACTGGGACTCTCAAATCCAGCTATTATGATTCCGAGGTTCTTTCCACTATATCATGTAGTAGGCAACCTTAGGGAAAATTATTTGAGAGGGAAAGAATATTCCTTATTCTTATTTCTTTTCCTTTATTCAGTAATTCTTTTTTGGATCCTTATATATCCTCTCTGGCCTCTGGAGTTTGGGTCATTTAATAAAGAAAGAGGGTGTTTGTCTAGAGACAATATAAAACCTGCTTTGTTGGACTCCCTCTCCCTTCTTTAGGGGTAGGGCTAGTGGGTTGTATTTCCAAACTTTATAACCAAGTTGCTCTAACTGGGGAGGCACTGTAATTAATGAGGAAGTTGGGAAGAAGTGTGTAGATACTAAAGAAGATTTCATTTGTACCTCCTTTCATCAAAAAAGTCGGGGTACTTTCAATTGTATTGTCTCATTAGTTTCTCCCATCTCCCTGAAGTCAAGGTGTTGTTCGCATTTTGTGTATGAAGCAGTTGCGGTAGAGAGAACTTGGAGAATTTGCCCAGTCTCCCAATGAGCTTAGGCACCCTAGAAGAGTAGCAGTGAAACATCCTACTTTTGTTTACCATGACACAGTCTGCCAAGTTTCTTGGGTTTGCTAAGAATTATATCATCACTCTATAGTTTTTTATTTCTATTTTCTCCTCTTTGTTTCAGTGATAGCATACCTGCTGCTTTCCTGATTCCTAGCTTCATGAACCACTTGAATTTCCTTGAGATAACATTTACTTGAAAGGTCATACTAGGAAGTTATAAAAGGGCCTTCTATCTGCCAAGGAACTCCCTAACCCTCATTTCCTTTCTTCTTCCACCATGAAATTAGTCAGTGAGGGAAAGCTATCAGGCTGGTTTGTTGTATGATTGGGAAAAGTAGCAATAACTTTAGGTGAGGCAAATCTAGGGGGAAATCTGAAACCTGAGTTTCTCTTGAAAATAGTGAATCATTTTTGCATCCCAAGATGCTACTGGTCCTTGGTGAAAGGGTTGGAAAGCTAGAGATTTTTAAATAGGGCTTACAGTCCTGTTTTTCAGTCCAACTGAACATTGTTCCTCTGAGTTACAATTGAGATGACTTTGAATAGGCACAGGAGTGAGTCATACATGATAAACATAAAGCTGTTCTGTGGTTAAGCTGTCCTTTCTTGAAACATGAGATATAAGGTTGATAGGTGTAGGGGACATGTATCATTTTTTAAAGGGCCTTAACAATTAGTCTTTTAGGTTAGAGGATGTCTAGGAGAACTTACAAGGGGTATGAGGAACAGGAGAGTCTGATAAATTTATTGTTTATTGGGTACAATAGAGACTAAAATTTTAGGGAGATTTGATATATATCTACTTTTCCTTATTTTAACTTCATTTTTTAAAAAAAATCTTTTTATTGTCTCCTCTCCCATTCTCCTCTCCTTGGTTTTTTTGTTTTTTGTTTTTTGTTTTTTTTTTTAAACAGGAAGGATTAAGGCAAGCAGACTCCAAACATTGGCTTTCAACTAGCCAGGGTCTTCCATCATACTCTTCTCTTGTGGCCCATGTGCTACTCCCTTTGCCCTCATTGTGCGACTGGCCCCCAACGCGATGTGTGTTTGTCAAACCATGGAAGTGGGGAAGTATGGCAAGAATGCAAGTCGAGCTGGAAACCCGGGAGTCCTCCTGGAGCCCTTCATACATCAGGTGGGCGGTCATAGCAGCATGATGCGCTATGATGACCACACTGTGTGCAAGCCACTCATTTCCCGGGAGCAGCGTTTCTATGAGTCTCTCCCCCCTGAAATGAAGGAGTTCACCCCTGAATACAAAGGTAAGCCCCAGCTGGTCACTGTACTCTGTTATGCCACACTGTCCATTAGCGGCATTCTGCTTTGGTGGATTTCCATCATTATCTTTAGATGTTATTTCTAGTTACTTTCATTAGTTAATAGTGGGTTGTAATTGTGTTTTCCTGTTCCCAGAAGCAACAGTTGTGGTTTTCATTCCAGAACAGCTCACTCACTTTTTCCTAAATGTTCTAAATAAGCCTGTCATGGAAAGACGTCTCCATTTGTGGTGTTGATTTTAGCAAGGGACTGAGAAGTTCTCAGGTTTTTTCCTCCCAGAATGAGTTCCAGTTGGCCTGTAAACAGGATATGTTTAGAATTCATCTAGTCTCACCACTTCATTTTACAGATGAGAACACTGAAGCCAAGTGAGGTTATGTGACTTGTCTAAGGTCCCACAGGTGGTGAGTCCTCTGACCCCTGCCTAGGTTCTAGTCCCAATCCGGCGCTCTGTACTGTGCCGTACGCTGCATTGAGGCATTATGGTTGATCAGACTTCTGTAGTGTGCGGCAGCGTCCTCTAGTTAGTGCCTTGCATTTGTGGACTTATGCAGAAGAGGTGGAACTCTCCTGGGTTGTTTCTTTTTTTAAGAGTATTTTAGATAGAGATTTTCTTCATTCAAGTGTAAGAGATAGCTAATGAGGGAGGAAAGACATTGTCAACCCTGGGCCTGTCTATAATAAAGAACATTAGATAAATTAGAAGGGATTTTGAGAAGGATTGGGGCCTGGGAGGAATGACATGTGAAGGACAGTAGCAAGGAAATAAAACCCAGCTATGTGAATGATTGTCATCTTTGCTTTTTAGGAAAAGTCTGGTAGGAGGGGCTCTCTTAATTGGTGAAGAGCAGCAGAGTAGGTAGTAATGAAGTAAAGGTGAGGTCTTGTCCACAGAAAGTTTTTAAAAGGAGGTGAGGATTGATACTTCAGGAAAGGGGAAAGAATAGTATCTCCTAGTCCCCCACTGGTGAGCTATTCACTCCTCTGCTTAGTGAAACTGACTGTTAAGTCTCTGTATTATAAGTTCACAAATTGTGTGCATTTGAGGAAGGCTGTGTGATAGAGTGACAAGACTGAAGCTAAATGTCATAGGGTTTGAGGCACCCCTTGGCCACTTAATAACTTCGTGACCTTGAGCAAGTGGCTTAAACTCTCTGAGACTCAGTTTTCACACCTGCAAAATGAGAGGGTTGGACTGAATGACTTCTAAGGCCTTTTATAGCTTTCCATCTAGGATCCAGTGATTTTTGTAACCATTTTTTTTTTTGTCACGGCAAGTGGGGTTAAGTGACTTGCCCTGGGTCACACAGCTAATAAATGTCAAGTGTCTGGTCTGAGACTGGATTTGAACTTGGGTCTTCCTGACCTCAGGGCTGGTACTCTATCCACTGAGCCACCTAGCTACCCCTTGGTAACCATTTTTGTACCATTTCTTTTTATTTACTTTTTATGGGATGGGCCTCATTTGACTTGAGAGAAGGGGAAATGAAATGGGTTTCCTTGGGTTTCCTTCCCAAGATGTCAGAAGTTGGGTGTTTATCTTTCCTTCGTGGCATCTGAACTCCTTGTGGGATGAGCTTTCTCCTCACTGAGGAAAGAGGGAGCTGGGGCAGAATTTGATATGTTAAAATTTCTTCTTAGGGAAGGACTAGAGGCCCTAACCCATCTCTTCCCGGCTTTGTGACTCAGACCTGCCTTGTGTCTGTAAGGAGCTGGCTTTTCTGGTCAGTCTGTGCTGAAAAGGAGGTAGTCTATCCTGGCATCAGTCACAACATGACAGATTTCTCCGCGTTGACAGTGCCATTGATCCTCTCTGCTGTGTTGGGATGTTTAGAACAAGCAGTGTGGCTGTGACTTGCCGGATTGTGGTGGGGAGCAGGGGTGTGGAGCCCTCCAGCGCTGTTTGTACTAAGCCCCTGCTGCTCTGGCTCTGATTGTCAGCAGCTTAGTAAGTGGAGGCAGAGCTTTCCGTGTGATTCTGCTTCCCTGTAAGCTACACGCAGTGCATGCACTGATATGACTGGAAAGAAGAGCCAACGATGTGCCATGAGTCGTGTGATCCTTCCAGTAGCCTATGAGGCAGGTATATACTGTCACCCACTTTACACATGAGGAGCCTGAGCCTTCCAGAAATCAGAGGATGCAAGTGTTGGAGTTCAGCTGTGAGTCAGTTGTCTACTAACTCCACACTTTTCTCCTCTACATCCTTCTGTCCTATCTTAAGATCTCTGGTCAGACTGGTTGTAGTACTTCACTTTTACTCTCTTCCAACTGTAAGAATTGGGGGTGGGGGCTGGGCAGGGGAAGCAGTGCCAGGCAGTGGAGAGAGTGCAGCACTGGGGCGCCGAGATTCTGGCTCTGCCACTGACTACGCCTCTGGACTGTCCTGGGCCTCGGCTTCCTTGTCTATAAAATGAGGTGTGGAGGATGCTCAGGGTGACGTTCTCTTGGGTCTCCTGTGGCTGCTTGGAGGGCTCTGAGGCCTCTCAGGATTAGCTCTGACGTGTTTCAGACAAGCTCATGGAGCTCTAGGAGGCTGGGCAGGAGCACTCAAACAGCTTCCCAGCTGGAGTACCATAGACTGTTGAAAGTCAGGTGGGTTTGAGACTATTCTTCCTGGTCCCAGTCTCTTCCTAATTAAAGAGTTTTAGGACCTGACCTGTTCCGTATGTTTACTTTCAGTTCTTCCCATTTCCATAGCAGAAGTAAAGCTGATGCACTACTGTTATTTTTGGCACAGTAATTACAGAGATTTTTAAATGACATTTAATGTCTTCTGTTAAAATAAAACATAGTTTGGGGTTATTGGTGGTAGACTTTGGAGAGGTGACATAACAAAATCTGCCTCTTGTGTATCAGTCTTACAAAAACCTACTTGCCCAGAAAATTGTGACTTGGGCCAAATGTTAGTAAATGTGCCTTTCTTTTCCTACCTACCTAGGGTGAAGGCAAAAGAGGGGGAAATGTTTGAATTTGGAATTTTTGAACCAGTAATGGGGCATCGAATCTTTCTCCACCTGCTTCTTTTGACAGACAAATGTATATATACACACACCATAACAGACCCTTCATCCTCCAGATTTCTGTTTCTTTCTTGAATCTGATGTAGAAATTGTAGATTAGTCTGCTCCACATAGCATGGCCTTTGCTAGCATTTGATTGGTTGGGGATCATGAAGGTAATTGTTATACATGAAGCTGGGAACCTTCACCACAGGCCATGGTGGTTGAGGACGCTTGAAGGTTATTGCTACAGGCTATTTCCAATAGATTCTCCAGACTCAGCCAGCTCTTCCTGCCCATTTGTGGAAAAGAGAGTTCAGAAAAATGTTTTCTGAGCATATAGAGCTGATCTATCCACAAATCTAAGAAAAAGATAGGTTAAAATCAGCCATGTTGCTGCTATGTCCTTCTCTTGAGCCAGAATTAAGTTATAGGGGTTAAGGTTTTTTTTTATATTTTGGTCCTTATTATAAGCCCAGCAACAACTGAAGACAGTCTCTTTATCCTTATGACTCAAAGAAGGCTTGAAGAATTAATCTTGACACCAAGACTCCCCCTGTAAAATGAAGGAGTTGGTGGATAGAGTCAGGAGGACCTGAGTTCAAATGTGGCTTCAGACACTTGACACTTACTAGCTATGTGACCCTGGGGCAAGTCACTTAACCCCATTGCCTAGCAAAAGTAAAAAACAAAAACAAGAAAAAATGAAGGAACTGGATTAGATGACCCCTAAGGTCCCTTTCCAATCCTAAATCTAGAGCCTGGAACCTTTTCTTCTTGTAGCATAGAAGAGAATTTCTGACCCAGAAGAGACTTTAAGAAGGGACCTAGCCAACCTCCAGGTGTTGGTTAAGTGTCCAGGATTCATTACTTTTCATTCTTCTTTTTGAGCTGGCATTTATAGTCTTAGCCCCTTTGGTAAAGATCCAGGAGACGCTGTGTGCCCAGCTTGTTAATAGAATGACTGTATTAGGCTAGCAGCGGTAGGAGGGGCATTAACAAAGAAAAACCTAAAAGGGTTAGAAAAATGTACCTAAACTGTAAAGTGCTTATGGTCCTGTGGTGGAAGAACCCCATGGATGAGGGAAAGAGCTGAATTACACATCTCAAAGCTGTTAATTTGGGAAATATCATCTGCCTCTAAAATACTCCTTGCTAACACTGGTGGAGAGGAGAAAAAAGGAGGAAGAGAGACCCTATCTATTCCTTAATTGTTTGATGTCTTCATAATAAGGGCTCTATGCATTTTAACAGTCGTTTTAAAAAATTGTAGATGAATTCTGTAATAACAGAATGGCCATATGAATTTCAGAGATGAAAGGGGTCTTAGAAATGATCTAATCCAACCCCTTATTTTATGAGGTAGGTGTGGGGGTGAAAGGTGGGAAGGCCTGGAACAGGGATAGAGCAGTGTACTCACAGCCCAGGTTTAAAGATAGGCGTACTTGCCCAGGAAGCAACGTACTTTATGGTGGAGCACGAGTAAGGAATTCATCCTGAAAAAAAAAGGTGAGGAAAGAGGAGGTCTGGAAGGGTTAAGAGCTTTCACTGTGGTCAAGACACACTTGAGGAAGTTGTTGTGTCTGGAGGGTTTCTCCTGGCCTTCTTTCCTCCCTTGCCTGTGATGTTTCTGTTTCTGCAGGAGGCACGAGGTTGGGGAGGCTCGGAAACACCCAGTTTCCTTCATTTTCTTTGAAGCTCCTCAGGAAGAGTGACGCGTCTCCATCTTTGGCAGGGTGATGTAGCCTACGTCCCTTTCCACCGTACCGCCTTAAATGCTTATGGCCTGTCTTGTCCCTTTCCTCTTGGCAGGTGTTGTGTCTGTCTGTTTTGAGGGGGACAGCGATGGCTACATTAACCTGGTGGCCTATCCTTACGTGGAAAGTGAGGCTCTGGAGCAGGACGACCCGCCAGAGCGCGAGCAGCCCCGACGCAAGCATTCCCGCCGAAGCCTTCACCGCTCGGGCAGCGGCAGTGAACACAAGGAGGAACGGGCGGGGCTGACCCCGGAGAGCACAGACAGGTAACAGGATGCAGGAGCAGGGGAGCCTGGGCCAGCACGGTCACCAGGGGGATGTCTTCTGACACTGTAGTGACGGGCTGGACACGAGGGGGAGGAAGATGAACTGTCTGAGCATCTTGTAAAAGGAGGGCCAGAAAAAAAGCTTTTAACAAAGAGCTGATACCCAGCTTATGGAATACGAGCTTTGGAACGGGGTCCTTATAAAATCCTGTATGTCCTCTGAGTGAAGAGAGCAAGGGCCAGAAGGCCCGTCGCAGCTCCCAGTACGTTCAGAGCTGTCCCTAAGTTAGGATGGGGGGGAGGGAGGGAGTTCCCTGCCCTTGTGATCTTCTAACGTAACCACTTAGAAATGTGTCAGCAGAGGTGCAGCTGTTAGAGCAGAGACTTGTATTCAGGAACAGGCAGGCTGAGCAGCCTCGGAGCCTCGGCGGTCCTGTGCCCAGGGCATCAGTCCGCAGGCGTCAGGGGCCTTGCCCAAGACTCTTGTGCTGTTTCCTCCCCCAGCAGCTCACAGGAGTTGAAGAGCCCCAAGGTGGAGCTGCACATCCACTCGGATGTCCCCTTCCAGATGCTTGATGGGAACAGCGGCCTGAGCTCAGAAAAAATCAGCTACAACCCCTGGAGCCTGCGCTGCCACAAGCAGCAGCTGAGCCGGATGCGCTCGGAGTCTAAGGAGAGGAAGCTCTACAGTATCCTCCAGAGTGGGCGGGCGGGAGGCTCCTGCTGGTCCTCTTGGCAAGGTTGTGTGCCTCACCTCTGTTCTTCATGCCGCCCAGTCCCCTTTTAGTGCTTTTGTGAAATCAGAATTAAAGACCTCTACGTAGACAGTGCTATGTGGTTAACAGAGTGCTTTGAGAGGCCGGCAGTGCAACGGCTACACAGCGTAGAGACTGGCAGGTCCGTGGTTCATTCTCGTGTGCTCCTCTGCCCTCGGTGCAGAAAGGTGGAGATCTGAAAGCTTAGATATCAGCATGAACTAGCAATTACTGCTTCTAATTACATGGTGTTTGGGGCAATACAGGGATGAAGGCATGTAAGTCTTTTTTTTAGAAAACTTGCCAGTAGATCCTAATAGGCTACGAACATAATAGGGTTCAGTCTTACAGGATACCAGATGCTACTGTAAAGAGTGTGTAGGATTAAACAAAAATTTCCTACCCTGTGTGTAGCTGGCCAGGGTTCAAGAATCAGAATGCCAGACATCGAGTTGTTGTTGTCACGTGTCATTTTCTGTGTGATGGGGGCAGGTCCTTTTTTCTCTCTAAGCCTTAGTTCTTCATATATAAAGGAAGATAATTAGACTTAGAACAGGCTTGATCTGCCCCTACTTTGTGTGTGTGGATGAGAGTACACACATGTACACACGTTTAGCCAAGTCTTTACGCCTGATAGCACTGACTGCCAACAAGGTGTTGTAGGTGATGAAAGAGGGACCTGGGCAAAGAGAAGGGAGGGAGAAAAGAGCAACTTCTTCAGCAGACGTTCCAGGTGTCTTAAGGATCACTTGATTTGGATGCAGAGAGGGAATGACGCAGTAGGAAAGATGTCTAGCATGACCCCAGATTATCAGTGACTCTGGGAGTGTGGGAGTGAGATCATTGCACCTGTGGGCATTGGTCAGACTGGCCATACTTGTGCTGCAAAGACTCCACTAAAGCTGTGAACATCTCAGGAAAGAGGATTTGAAGGGATGTGCCTGAATGTGTCAGAGCACAGGCATTTACCATGTGTGGTGGCAGGGTTGGGAAGGAGGATGTGGGTTTAAAACCAGGTTCTGTTTCTGAGGGGACCTTGGCTGTACCCCTTCCACTTCCTTCCCACCACTTACCCCCAACCTCATGAAATGAGAGGATTGGATTAGATCATTTCTAAGGTCCCTTTCATCTCTGAAAATTTATATGGCATTCAAATATTACAGAATTCATCTAAATGTTTTAATGGTGGTTAAAATGTATAGAGTCCCTATTATGACTGTGTAAAGCAATGAGTAAGAATGACCCCATTATGGGAAAATTTGAGCAAATTGAATCTTAGAGATCAGAGATCACAGGGATCCACACCAACCCAGTGAGCATTTATTGAGCACGTACTGTGTACAAACACTGTATTGAGTTGAAGATAGGACAAATTTTAAAACAAAGGTACAAAAAGATGGGGATTCAACAAGTGAACATAGGGACGATCAAAGTCAGAGCCAGAAGGGGCATTGGAGGTGGTCTAGCCAAGGAGGCTCATTTGAAAGAGGAAGCCACCTGCCTGCAGAAGCAAGATAGGTGGAGACAGGTGGCTGCTCTGAGCCCGCACAGCCCCACCTGGCCCGGCCCCGGGGGCAGGCACGCAGTCTCCTTGACTTGAGTCTCTAGAGTTCCTCTTGCTGGAGAATGTGGTACATCACTTCAAGTTCCCCTGTGTGTTAGATCTGAAGATGGGGACCAGGCAGCACGGCGATGATGCCTCCGAGGAGAAGGCTGCCCGGCAGATGAAGAAGTGTGAGCAGAGCACCTCTGCCACTCTGGGCGTCCGAGTCTGTGGAATGCAGGTACGGGCCCCGGCGTGGCCGTTGGGGCTGCTGCTGGGGATGAGCCCCAGGAGGGGCTGCTGGTAGTGTCAGGGCTCCCTCTGCTGGCGGATGCTTTTGCTTGTGAGCCTAAGTGCCAGAGGTGAAGGCTCAGGGGTTGTGTATCCGTGAGCCACCTTCAACCCGCCCCTTCCCACTTTGGGTCCTGTGCAGGCCAGGCCTTCAGGAGTGTGACGGTCACAGAGTCATCTCTGCGAGGGAATTTCCACCACAGGGTGCTCCCTGACCGTTTCCTGCCCTATTTATGCCTGCAGAAGGTGAGCTATTCAGCCTTCGTGTTTTTACTTTTCAGCCTAAGACCTAGGTATCTGGACAATGGCTCTTGGAGGCTCATAGGGACTGTGGCTGTTTTGGGATCTTCTCTAGAGCCCAAAGCTCAGCTAAGGGGTATTTCCTGTAGCCTCGGGATCTAGGAGGTAGTGGAGACTCCTCAGTATCCTGCCTTTCTTTTGTGGTTTCTTCTGGACTAAGGAGGCCCTGCTGGTTCCCAGAAACCAGCTCTGGAGGGAGGTGTTGGTGGGTCCACTGCTGCAGCTTAGCCTTCTACTAATAGAGGGGTGCAGCAGATGGGGAAGAGAGGCGGGAGGCACAGACCCTTAGCCTAAGGGGTAGACTCAGGCTCTTTCCTGTCTGTACCGTCATGTCCTATGTGAATTGGACTCACCATGGTCTTACGGATGACAGTATCCATTAAAACCCTGCTCTGTTGACAGACCATGCCAAAGGAAGCCACCGAAGTCATCGTCCATAACTGTTGTACTAATAGTATCTCCTGATCTTTCAGGTTTTTCAGCTGGACACAGGGCATTATTTGTGCAGGAATAAATACTATGGTCGTGGGCTCTCGATTGAAGGCTTCCGCAACGCTCTCTACCAGTATCTCCACAATGGCCTGGACCTCCGGAGAGATCTTTTTGAGCCCATCTTGAGCAAACTTCGGGGTTTGAAGTCTGTGCTGGAGAGGCAGGCCTCTTACCGATTTTACTCAAGCTCCCTCCTCATCATTTACGATGGGAAGGAGTGCAGGGCAGAGATGTTCCTAGAGCGCCGGGCAGACACGCGCTCGAAGAATGTGGACTCGGGGCTCCCTGAGACGATGCCCGATGGCACCAGCCCTAGCACCAGTCCCGAGACATCCCCCTCTGCCACACCCAAGGTGGACGTCCGCATGATTGACTTTGCACACAGCACGTTCAAGGGCTTTCGGGATGACCCTACTGTGCACGATGGGCCCGACAAGGGCTACATGTTTGGCCTAGACAGCCTCATCACCATCATGGAGCAGATGCGGGAGGAAAACCAGTAGTGTCCTACGCTGGGCTCCCCGTGTCAGTCACTGCCCAGAGCCCTTTCCCCTCTACCCACAGGCAGGGACCACCCATTCTGAACTCACCACAGAGGGCAGACAAGACAGACTTTGGTTTTAAAGGGTTATATTTCTCTTTGGTGTAAACTAAAAGAAATGATTTTAGCTGTAGCCTGGAATACATATATATAAAAGTGAAGGAGAGAGAGGAGAAAGCAGAAGATGTGCTCAGCCATTTTATTAACCATGTGGCTTTGATGACTTTGTCCAGGCTGGCTTAGGAAGAGGATCTCCGAATGTTTTGGCCTTGGTGAGACTGTCAGCTGCTCTGGTCTTTTTAGTTCACAGGCTTCTGCCTGGTTTGTGGCCAAAAGGAGGCTTCAGGTGGGGGCCAGGGACCACAAGGCTCTTTAGACTCCACTGGTCCTTTTTTTGGCTCACTTGAAGCCTCAAACTTGGGGAGCAATTGAGAGCAGGAGCCTGACTGAAGGGCAGGCTTTTCAGTCAGGCATTCCAGCCCCCAGGCTCTTGCATGTCACTTATTCCTGAGAGGCTCTGGGGGTCACCAGACCTACCTGTAGCAGGTGGGGAAAAGCAAGAGGGACTCTGGGTAGCAAATAGTCTGATATGAGGTTTCTCTTGTGTCTGTGGACAACAGAGAGAAATGACTAAGAGAAAGAGATAGAGTGTGTGTGCGCATGTGTGCGTGCGTGCGTGCGTGTGTGTGTGTGTGTGTGTGTGTTTCTGCATCCTAGCGGGGATGGGGAAAAACAACCAGTGGGACTTTTCTGGTAAGCCCGGTTGCCTGAACAGATAGTTTTGGAAACCCCCCCCCCCCCCCCCCCCAGCTGTTTGCTGCTGTTGCTGCTTCTGCTGTTTCTTGCCTTTTAAAATTGAGCTGCAAGAGACTGAACTAAGCCATTTGAAGATGGGGTGGGCAAGATAACAGGTGTGTGAAGTTGGACTGGTAGTTAAAACAAGCCAGGTGAATGTGGAGCATAGGAACTTAGCAGAGGCCGGCCTTAGCAAGCATTTGGCCTCCTCTGGTTCTCCTTGGTACCCCTAGTTGAACCCCACCCCACTTCTTTCCACCTGATAGCATGCACCCAAACTCCAGCAGCATGAGAAGTGTTTCCTCCACAAACCTAGGGGAGTGAATTTTGTTGCTATTCCCTCCTACTTCCTTCCCTTCCCCCGACCCCCAGCAGATTATTTTTGGGCACTGGGAGGTGGGTGGGGAGGGGGTGGAGTATGGATTATGACCAGGGCTGCTTATAGCCATCAACTTCTCTTAGTGGTTGGCCAAGCCTAGTTGTAGAGGCTGGAGCCTTGTTGGTTTAGGGCAGTGAAAGAAGGCACTTAAATCTCTCCAGATTTCTAAGATCTAAGATCTCTGGCCTTGGCTGCCATATTGCTTCTTGCTGCTCTTCTCCTATAAAACTGTAAGGTGTCAAGTGGTCTGCACCTCCTGCTTCAGGTGTGGCTTGGTCAGGAGCAGCAGGACTCACTTAACAAAAAACCAGAACACAGAACCTAGAAGTGCAAGCCTTGGAAATGAGCAGCTTGGGCTGCAGGCCCAGTAGCCCATGGTGGGTTCTGATTTTTGTGCCTGCTGAATTTTAAGAAAAGGGAGCATGTTGAGAGTGACATCTGAGGATTCTTTTATCTCCTTCTGGGCCAGCTCTCAGGTTTGTCCCTAGGTGTGGGCTGCCCTGTGCAGTGGTGAGGGTGGCTAGCTGGCTTTGTTTTCCCCACTGACGTTCACCCGCTTGTTAATATTTTTTTCCTCTGTACTCCCTTCTCAAGCAGCTACTAACCGGGGTTCTTCCCTTGGAGTTGGACTCTTTGTAGATGCTGAAGTTTCTGGAGGAAGTGGATTAAGTTGTAAGAAGTACCAGGGCAGTGTGCTCTTCCTGTTGAACAGTCTTCTTACTAGTCAGTGCCCCATGGTTAGCATAATCCAAGGGAGGCAGCTGGAGCGAAGGCAAAGAGAAAGCTTGATGGTTAGTTTTCTCAGCCCAGACTGACAGTGCTTTGGGTACTTGACCCAGCCCTTACCTCTCTCCTGGTGCCTGTGGGAAGGGCCAGAACAGAGGGCCAGAGGCTGTTTGCCATTCCTTCTCTGTATATTCTCACCCTGGCTTGCAGATCTGAAGCATAAGACTGGTCTTGGGAAATCATCCACCATATTGGGACTTAACTCAAAGCCCCAGGAGTTACAAGCTAACCTGGATACTCAGAGTCTACCAGGGGCTGTCAGTGGTACTGCCAGTCTGGACAGCTCAGTGAGGACAAACTGCTCATGCTAGTAGGCTCAAGAGGGACTGAGAAGCATGCGTATGCACGAGAGAGAGCTCTGTGTATGACATCTTTAACCTCATCTTCCTGTAGGGAACTCAGCATGTATCATTGTTACCGTACGTCTATCCTGGCTTCAGCGTGGAAAGGGAGCTGAGCCATCTCTAGATGAGACCATGACATGAGATGGTCTCTTTCTTTTTAGACATCCAGGCACTACATCTTAAATTGGACCCTGGAGCTATGAGAGTTTCCCTCCGAGGTAGGCTGGTCTCTAGATCTGGACCTTGGGGTGAGCCCTGGGCAGAACAGACTTTCATGTTAAAATGCCATTGCCTGGTTTAACCCCAGTGATCCCTTGAGGGCAGAACAGCTCATCTGAGTTGGACCTTCTGGTAATGACCCACTTCTCCCTTGTATTGTGCTGTGGTCTCCACTATGGGAGATAGGTGCCTTTTAAGAGCAGATAGTGTTCATTCCCAGTGCTATGCAGAGGAGAAGACACATGTCTAGGAGATTGTGCAGCATGCCTGCTTTAGCTTTCCAGCCAGTGAGCTGCCTGGCTGGAGCAGTCTGCGTTTCTGGGACCTTGGGACAGTGTCCCTTCGTTTCGAGCCCAGCTGCGCCTTGCTGAGAATGAACAGGCTGTGCCTACTCACTCAGTGTTTCTGGGCCCCAGTATTCCCGGGCTGGGCCCCATGGATGTAAAAATGGCAGATTCTAAGGTTGGCCTTAGAGCAGGGAACAACATAGAGGTGACCACCGTAGAAGTGTTTTAGATTTCCAAGGATACCATTTTCAGACCACATGCCCCACTCCTGGTCACTGGCCATGCCCAGTCCCACATGCATGGGGAAGGTATCTTTTGCTTGCCCAGAAATAACTAGTAAAAGCCAGCTGTCAGAGCATACCAGGACACTGCTTGGCCAAAACTTTAAGGGGGAGAGGCCAAAAAGTCTGGCTGGCATCCAAGGGTACTGGGCAGTGGACACTTTGGAGTTGATGGGCCCTTTGCCGTCCTTCCTCCTGCCCGTTACATCCCCTGCAGTGGCCTGTGTCTCTTAGCCAACTTGGAGGGAGGGGCTGTGTGATCCCAGCACTGGACCAAAGAGAGGGATGGCAAGGGAGCCTAGCACACATGGGTGCTTTTGTTTGAAATCTCTGTACAGTATTTACGGGGGGCCAATGAGTAAGCACTAGCCACTTGCAAAAAAATGGAAGACAGGGCTTTTGATGTCAGGCCACCAACAGGTCTGTGAAATGGGCTGGGACTCCCCCCAAACCATAGAATGTTGCTTTGCCATGTGGGAATATTCTGATAGGTTTCCATGTGTTTCCATGAGGGGAGCAGTGCCTTGCTTTGCTTGTGGGGGAGTTGGCAAGAACCCCCCCATCTCCCACTGCTCTTCCTGGAAGGATAAGGACAATCAGCCACATCAGCTTTGCTGACTTAGAAGAAAACTCTCTGCTTGTCCAGTCTCCTGCTTAGTGGCATTATTACGTTTGTCTTCTGGCATTTTTCTGCATATCTTTAGTTTTCTCTGGAACTTGTTTAGAGGCATGATTGTAACAGTGTCTGTATTCACCCCGCACTGTTCCCTTGCCTTCTGTCCAAAAGTCATGTATATAAAAATAAAGTGACCTAGAAATGTACAAGTGTGTTCTCTGTTTGACATTCCTCAGAGAAGGTGTCAAGGGAGATTTCCACGTTGACCTGCTCAGTTCCTTCAGGTTCAGTGGCCATTCGGAACCTCCTGATGGCAGAACTCACAAGTTAGTTGCACGAGAGATCTCTGCCTCCATAAATGAAGCTCACAGCCTACTAGGGGGATGTGACATAGAGGGAAAATTGAGGTAATGATGTAAGTGCATTAGAGATGAAAAGCAAGATGACCCGGAAGGAAGAGACTTGTTTCTCCTGTACTTCCCGCATTCATTCCAGCCTGGGCCGAAGCCCCAAAGCCAGCTATGGACTGACCAACCAGTCACTTGGATGGTCCAATTCTGCCAACGGGACCCTGTGTGGTTCTGAGGGAAAGAAGTTTGGGAAGAGAATTGGGGTAGCTCTGCAAACAAAGGCCGACTTTAGCAGAGGTTCCCTGGGAAGGATGGGTTGGAGGCTCAAGAGTATCCTTATTTAAAACCTAGTTTACTCTTCTGTGTTTTCCCCTGGTTAGTGTCATTCTGCTTCGCCAAATACTGGTAAGAGAACAGCAGAATGGAATTAATCACATTATCTCCAGAGTTGCCTTTGGGTGCAGGTCAGTAACCCACAGGGAGCTTATGTTCCTGGGTTCCTAAGAGATGATGGCAAGTGAGAGTCTGCTTTGAAGTAGCCAAAAGAGGTTCCTAATACACCATAATGGGCAGCTAGGTGGCGCATTGGATATAGCACCCACCCTGGAGTTAGGAGGACCAGAGTTCAAATCCAGCTTCAGACACACAACACTTACTAGCTGTGTGACTGGGCAAGTCACTTAACCCCAATTGCCTCACCAAGAAAAAAAAAAAATGACCAATACACCACAACAAGGCCCACCCCCTTTAGCCTGTGTCCCTTCCAATGAAGCCAGTGAAGCCTTTGCCCAGCAAAATCATGGCCCCCTTTGCAGGCTACGGTGACACATGCAAGTCCCCAGCTACAAGAGGAGCAGTCATGGTCAGGAGTTGGTGGCTTACCTCCCTATTCTGGGGTGGGGGCATAGGTATGGGCTGTCCCCTGGGAAAGAAGTAACCTGATGCCACAGATTATTTCCGGGAGAAAGGGTAAGGGGTTGGCCTCTGCCCCAGCCAGGTTCAGGAGCATGGTGCTCCAGGGAGAGATTCTCTAGCTCATTCTGTTATGGCAACCTTGGGCCATTCTGTATTTGCACACCCAACCTGGGAGGTGGCTGCTATTACTGTCCCTATTTTATAGGTGAAGCCTGGGGCTCAGAGGTGTTAAATAATTTACAGCTAATAAGACCTGAGGGAAGTTGAGAACCCATGCTTTTTTTTTTAAACTTTTTAAATTTTATTTTAATTGATTAACAATCACTTCCATAAGCTTTTGAGTTAAATTTTTCTCCCCCTCCCTACCTCCCTCCCCAAGATGGAGTGCAATCTAATATAGGCTATACATATACATTCCTATTAAACATATTTTCACATTAGTGATGTAAGAATTAGAACTAATAGGAGGAACCACCAGAAAGGAAACAAAACACAACAGAAAAAAAAATAGCAAATAGTGTGCTTTGATCTGCATTCAAACTCCATAGTTCGTTTTTTGGATGTGGACAGCATTTTCCATCATGAGGCTTTTGGAAATGTCTTAGATCCTTGTATTGCTGAGAGGGGTTAAGTCTATCAAAGTCAGTCATCACTCAATGTGGCTGTTGCTGTGTACAACATTCTTCTGGTTCTGCTCACTTCACTCAGCATCAAACCGTGGAAATACAAGTCTTTCCAGGTTTATCAGAAGTTTGCCTGTTCATCATTTCTTATAGCACAATAGTATTCCACTACATTCATATATCACATTCACAATTATGATTACTGTCTTTGTCTCCATCCTTTTCCCCCCCTGTTTATGCTTTTCTTTCTCCTTTCTCCTTTCCCCTCCTCACTAATGTTTTGCTTTTGATCAACCACCTCCCTCAGTCCCACCTCCCTTTTCTTTCCCCTTTTTCCTCCTACAGTCTATAGGGCATTTTATTTTAATTAAGACCCTTGATTTCTATGCCTGATTATGTTAATTCCCTTCTTGAGCAAAATCTGGTGAGAGTAAGGTTCAAACAATGCTCATCTCCCTCCCTTCTTTCCCTCTGCTGTAATAGGATTTTGTGCCTTTTCCTGTGATGTAATTTACCCTTGTCTGCCTCCTTTCCTTTTCTCTCAGTACATTTTCTTAGATCAGATTAATTCACTTACTTGGATCCATTTAACCCACTTGATTAGATTTTTTTCATCATTACATCAAAGTCAATTTATACCCACCCCCTTTATGTATACCCCTTTAACATGGTATAATAACAATACAGTTCTCAAGAGTTACAAGTGTCATCTCCTCTTGTAGGGGTGTAAACAATTTGCCCTTATTAACAACATATTGTATCTTTCTGTCCCGTTTACCTTTTTATGTCTCTCTTGAGTCTTGTATTTGAAGATGAAATTTTCTATTGAGCTCTGGTCTTTTTATCAGGAAGGTATGGAAATCCCCTATTTCGTTGAATATCCATCTCCTCCCCTGAAAGATCATGCTCATTTTCGCTGGGTAGTTGATTCTTGGTTGTAATCCAAGCTCCTTTGCCTTATGGAATATCATATTCCACGCCCTACGATCTTTTAATGTAGAAGCCGTAAGGTCCTGTGTAATCCTGACTGTGGTTCCATGATATTTAAATTGTTTCTTTCTGGCTGCTTGCAGTATTTTCTCTTTGACCTGGTAATTTTGGAATTTGGCTACTATATTCCTTGGTGTTTTCAGTTTGGGATCTCTTTCAGGAGGTGATCGGTGGATTCTTTCTATGGCTATTTTATCCTCTGGTTCTAGGACTTCAGGGCAGTTTTCCTTTATAATTTCCTGAAAGATACTGCCCAGGCTCTTTTTTTCATCGTGATTTTCAGGTAGATCAATAATTTTTAAATTGTCTCTCCTGGATCTATTTTCCAGGTCAATTGTTTTACCAACGAGATATGTAAACATTTTCATCTATTTTTTCATTCTTTTGTTATTGTTTGACTGATTCTTGCTCTCTCATGGAGTCATTAGCTTCCATTTTCGAAATTCTAATTTTTAACACATTGTTTTCTTCTATTAGATTTTGTACCTCCTTCCCCATTTGGCCAATTGTATTTTTTAAGGACTTGTTTTCTTCAGTGTACTTTTTTTCCAGTTGGCCAATTGTATTTTTTAAGGACTTGTTTTCTGCAGTTAATTTTTGTCCTTCATTTTCCAAGCTATTGACTCTCTCTTGCATACCTCTCATTTCTTTTCCCATTTTTTCTTCTACCTTTCTCATTTGGCTTTTAAAATCCTTCTGAGCTCTTCTAAGAAGGCTTTTTGGGCTTCAGACCAGTTTAAATTCCTTTGAGGTTCCAGATGTGGGTTTGTTGACAATGTTGAACTCTTCAGAATTTCTGCCTTGATCTTCACTCTTCCCATAATAAGAATCTATTGGATGTTTCTTTTTGCTCATGCTGTTTGCTTATTTCCTGGCCTTTAAAGAGACTGGGCTCTCCTGCTGGGGAGCAGGGGGCACTGACCCAAGCTTCTTGTGTTGGGAGCCTAGGGCCTGGTTGATGGCTTTGTGTTGCTGAGGCCTCCAATGTTGGCAGTTGGAGGCTGTAGGATTCTGGCAGCTTACCTGGTGTTGGGCTGGAATCAGAAACACTGGAACTCTAGGGGTAGGATTGGATAATGTGGCTCCTGGAGATTTCCTGCTCACCCAGGCCTTTCCTTCCTTTTGCTTTCTTCAGCTCCTTTCAGATGGATGTGGTAGGGTGTTTATCCACCTGGGGCCTCTTGGAGCGCTGCTTCCCTTAGTTTTGCTGAGGCACTGAGAGATCCGGTTGCTGTAGAATGCCGAGGCACCTGGTGGTTTTCTGAGCTGGTTTCCACCAGTTCCCCCGCCCTCAATGAGGCACTTAGGGGTCCAGATGTTGGTGTTTGCCTGCTCCACCACCTGGGCTTCAGGATCTCTTCCTGGTATGCTGAGGTGGGGCTTTCCACTAGCTTGCTGGGATGCCTCCCGTTTTGTACTGTTCCCTTTCCCCCAAGGTAAGAGGGGCCTTTCCAGTTAATTCCTCAAGCTACCTGGGCTACTAGACTGCTGCACCTCATCTTTCTTCAGGTTCAATTGTTCCAGGGTTTTTCCTGGGGTGATATTTTCTGGGCTTTCAGGGGTTAATAGGGGATGGTAAGAGACACTCACCTCTTACTCTGCCATTTTGGCTCCCAGAAGTGGAAGTCCAACCCATGCTTTTCTTAATCCAGGTCACCTTTATTTGACTAAGTCCTTCTCTTACCTATACCTGTGGAAAGTGTTTTTTTTACACTTTATCCCATCTGACCCTTGTCATTTCTAGGGGTGGAAAATGAAGTCTGGAGAGAGTTGAGAAAGTGGGGACTGCTTGAGCTGGAGATGCCATTCTGAAAAACTCCTCCACTGCTTGGGTACCAGGCAGTTGGGAGAGGGGCCAATAACATGTTAAGAACCCAACTCAAACCACCTTAAAGAAGAAACGATCTACCTGAGCCCAGCGTCACCCACCAAGTTCCCATAGTTTAAGGAGATAGCTCCAATACTTCTGCACGAGAAGCCTTCAGCCAAGCCTCTCCCCAAGTGAGACACAATCCCAGAGGCCCTAATCTTGATTTTTAGAGGCAGGTCCCTAATTAAGGACTTTCCTCACCTCCCCCTGGCCCCAGGTAGCATCTACTGCATAGCTAACTCATTGGGAACTCTCAGTTGACCTCCCACAGGGATGGTGATGACAGCATCTCCCATTTATACAGCTATTTTTTTTTTTCAATTTCTATCTCATTTTCTCCCTTATGAACAAATACAGCCAAGTCCTCCTACCCATCCATGAGTCCTGGTTGCCCACTGAGTAAAGTTCAGACTTCATACATAACCTGGCACCATCCCACCTTTCAGCCTATCCCTGCCTCCAAAAAGCAGAAGCTGAAGCCAAAATGGACTGCTTTCCTCCCTAGTTCTTAGCACAGTCTGTACCCTACCACTTCTGAGCCTTGATTTGGGGAAATGCCCTGTCCAGACCTGGCAGGGTCATAGAATTTCTGAAACAGTCATCTACTTAGAACCCCATGGATTAGACAGGGAATGGACTTGGAGCAGAAGTGACTTCCCAAGGTCACAGAGCTAGAGTGTGGATTCAGGACTTCTGACCAGTGATCTCTCCGTTATGCAACTTTTCCATATACTGGGTAGGATTTGGGCTCTGCTTTTAAAAGGAAAACGACTTGCTGCTTTAAAAAGAGTACTGTACTGGGAATCAGAAGATCTGGGTTCAAGTTTCAGCTGTGTGTCCCTCGGTCGATTGCTTTACATCTCCAGCTCTCAGGTTCCTCCTCTGAAACCAGGCCACAAAGGGCAGAAGAGATACAGGATGAGAGTTAACGGGGATGGATATGAACCAAGGGAGGATTTTCTTTCAAGATGGGGGAGACACGGGCATGTTTGTAAGCAGTGGACAAGGAGACGAGGAGAGAATAAAAAAAAGTGGGAGGGAGGATGAGGGGGCGGGGATTTGTTGAAGGAGGTGGAACCTGTAGAGGGGTTCGCTTGGCGAGGAGCAAGGCTACGTCATCATGTGAAAGGGGTGGGGGAGGAGGGAGTGGCGGAGATGGGAGTTGGGGAAGAGGGCAGAAGCGGGGGCTCAGAGCTAATAGCCTCGATTGGCATTTAGATCTTCAATGTAGAGCTGCAAGGGAGCCTCGAGACCATCCTACTCCAAGGTCCATCCTCGTTTTACAGATGAGGAAACTGAGGCCCAGGGAGGTCACGTGTTTTGTACAAGGTCTCACAAGAAAGGAGAGCCAAGGATGGGATTTTCTCCTAGGGTGTCTCCCCGTTTGAATCAGGAAGAAGACCTGAATTCATATACGGCCACACAGACACTTAGCTGGGTGACCCTGGGCAAGTCACTTCACCCTGTTTACCCTCAGTTTCCTCATCTGTAAAATGTGCTGGAGAAGGAAGTGGCAAACCACTCCAGCATCTGCCAAGAACGACCCCCCCCCAAAAAAAGGTCACCAAGGGTCGGACACGACTGCACGCTAACATCACCTTCCTGGTTTTTACAGATGAGGAAACTAAGTCCCAGGCGGGTGGGAGGGCTTATCTGAGGCCACGTATTGGGCCGACTTCTCTCTACTTCCCAGGGAGACTCCACGGGGGGGCCCGCCGCGCAACATACCTGGTAGGGTGCCTGCCTAGGAACCACATGGGCGAAGCCGCGGCTCCGCCCCTGCCGCCAGTGCCGTCTTCAGATCGACCAATGGGCAACTGCCCCGCCTGTCCTTTCCGCTGTCGCCATGGCGCCTCGGGCGCTTGGGCTATGATTGGCTGCGCTCGGAGGGGTGCGGCACGGCGGCGCCATGGCGTCACTGCCGTGCCACGTAGGCGTCCGACGATTGGCAGGGAGCTGCCCTGGCATGGGCGGGCCTCGGCGCCTGGCCCCTCCCCTTCCGCTGCGCGGCCGCCTGCGGCCTGTCACAGGCCGGGGCAGGCCTCCGACCGGGGGGGCTGGCTGTGGGCGGGGCCGGGGCCGGGGCCGGAGCCGGAGCCGGAGCTGGACCTGGACGTGAAGCCTGAGCCGGAGCCGGATCCGCGGCCGGTGAGGAGGGGGAGCCCAGGGCCGCGAGGGGGGAGGGGAGCCCCGACGGAGCCGGTTCCGGGAGCGGGGTCCAGGGCGGCGCCCGCTGAGTCCCGGCCTCCGCCCTCTCCCCTTCCCCCAGGGCCCTGAGTGGGCGTGATGAAGGCGCTGATCCTGGTGGGCGGCTACGGCACGAGGCTGCGGCCCCTGACCCTGAGCACGCCCAAGCCGCTGGTGGACTTCTGCAACAAGCCCATCCTGCTGCACCAGGTGGAGGCACTGGTGAAGAAGGTGAGGCCGCGGCCCGCGGGCGTGACGGCGACACGTCCACTCGACCTCCCCAGCTTCACATACTTAGCAGGTGTCATTGTATTGAAAGGGGGCCCAGAGAGAGGTGAGGGCTGGAGTTGGGCTTACCAGGTGCCCTTGTGCTCAAAGGGGCCTCCAGATAGAGGTGTGAGGGCTTGAGCTGGACGTAGTAGGTGGTGTTGTGCTCAAAGGGGACTCCAGAAAGAGGTGAGGGCTTGAGCTAGAGGTTTGGTGCGTTTTGTATATACTTATCAACTGTCATTATACTGAAAGGGGGGCTCAGAAAGAGGTGAGGGCTTGAGTTGAAGGTTCAGCCCAGCCTCAGGATGGGTGGGGTGGGGGTGGGGCTGACTGCCAAGTGACTGACTCCCAAGAGAGGGGAGGGGCCACATCAGTGCTTTCTTGTACAGGCAGGAGTGAATCATGTGATCCTGGCTGTGAGCTACATGTCCGAGATGTTGGAGAAGGAAATGAAGGAACAAGAGCTAAGGGTAAGGAGGGTGAAGCGAGCCTGGATCCTCAGCAGTGCCGGGCAGGCCTGAGCTGGAATGGCAGCCCTGGTTGAGGGCTCCCTCACTCTAAGAGCCCCTTAGTTTTTTCCTAGCTACCCAGGACCCAGGTCTGAGAAGTGTTTGTGGGACAGGGTCCCTCTGGGGGGTGGTGCAGGGAGAGATTGAATAAGCATCAGAGAACCTGCTGTGTGCCAGGCACTGAGATAAGTGCTTTTACAAATATGATTTGATTTGAAGGGGGTGGAAAGGCCCCACACCTGAGCCCCAGAGTGGCTGGAGGAAGGGCGGGTAGGGCATTGAAGACAGGAGAGATTACCCCTGACTGGACCCTCCTGACCGAGTCTGCTTTGACTTTTCAGCTAGGGATTCGAATCTCCTTGTCGCATGAACTGGAGCCTCTGGGAACAGGTCAGTGGAGACAGCCCCAGGGTAGAGGCAAGCTCTGCAGGGCGGTACCTTCTGTGGGAAGAGCTGGGGGGTGAGAGGTGCAGAGCACAGGCTGAGGACGGAGCTCACCCTGGGCCAGCCCTGAGCCTCTGGTGCCCTGTGTCCCTGCAGCGGGGCCCCTGGCACTGGCCAGGGAGCTGCTCACGGAGAATTCGGATCCCTTCTTCGTTCTCAACAGTGACATTATCTGTGACTTCCCCTTTGCTGCGATGGCGAAGTTCCATCAGCATCACGGGCAGGAGGGGACCATCGTGGTGAGACATCCCCTGCCCCCCCCAACTTCCCTCCATGGTAAGGAGTGGGCAGTGACCGTGCCGGCTAGTCTGCTACTTGGCCATGGTGGCCCAGACATTTTCCCTTCTGTAACGACCGGAGGGTTGGATCAGCCAGTCCCTAGGACAGATCCTTTCTGGCTCTAGGGGCCTGGGAGGCCTCTAAGCTTCTCAGGTCCCTGGTGAGTTTCCTTCCATCCTCCCGCTTACCCCTCACCTGGCCTCCCCCGTACATGTCCTTAGGGTGTTTGCTGGATAGAAACCGTCTGCTTCCTGGTCTCATCTCCACTCAGAGGGCCCTGGCTCTGGGGAGATGACTTTAAGGACCCAGGTGTGGGATACTCTGAGAGCCTGCCGGGTTAGTGTCATCCCTCTTCCTTTGCCAATTTAGGTGACCAAAGTGGAGGAGCCCTCCAAGTACGGGGTGGTGGTGAGCGACGCGGACACAGGCCGCATCCACCGATTTGTGGAGAAGCCCCAGGTCTTTGTGTCCAATAAGATCAATGCCGGCATGTACATCTTTAGTCCCAGTGTGTTACAGCGAATCCAGGTGGGCCTGGGTGGGAGGATGGTGGGAGCAGTAAATGCCAGGCCCGAGGAAAGATAGAGCCTGGAGTCAGTGTCAGGAGCTCATCTCTGGGCAGCCCCTGAGCATCTCTCCACCCCCACAGTTACAGCCCACATCTATTGAGAAGGAAATTTTCCCTGTGATGGCCAAGGAAGGGCAGCTGTATGCCATGGAACTCCCAGGTAAACGGGAGAGTCGGCTCCCGGAGGGTGGGACAGGGCTGGCAGGACTGGGTGGGACTGCCCAGTCAGGCTCCCTGTGCCCACACCCTTAGGCTTCTGGATGGACATTGGGCAGCCCAAGGACTTCCTGACAGGGATGTGCCTCTTCCTGCAGTCGCTGAGGCAGACACAGCCTGAGCGGCTCTACTCTGGCCCGGGTATTGTGGGCAATGTGCTGGTGGTGAGTGCAAGGCCCATTTCTTAAGACGCTTAAAGGACTTTGACAAACTCATTCTCCCTTAGGTATAAATGATCAATAAGGCTGAATGTATTTTATTATTGAACTCCTGGCCATTCTGATGATTCTGCCTCCATAATCTTTGATCCTTGCTGCTTCTATACTCCTCTCATGGTCCAGGGCCTCATCACCTCCCCTACTGGAATGATCTATCTGCCAATTGGTTTCCCTTCCTCTTGCCTCTCCATTCTCCAGTCCACTGCATGGCTTATGCACAGGTCTGACTGACTTTCAATGGCTAAATACAAACTCATTAGCTCGGCATTCAGGGCTCCCACAATGTAGCTGCAGCTTACCGCACTGGCTTTATTGTATACGGCTTTTGCTTCATGCATTTTGTTTTCCAATCAGACTAGACTCCTAGCTGTCCCCTTCCTCATTTCCTACCTCTGGACATTTGCCCAGGCCTTCCTGCTGCTTCTGCATTCTTTAGTCCCTCCAAAGCCCCTCCCTGCAGCACTTGGTCTGGTTCTCTCCTTGGCTCCCTATCTCCCCTCCCCCAGTAGGTATAAGCTGCTTGAGGGCAGGGACCATCAATTTTTCATCACCGTATCCTGAAAGTTGAGCACAATGCTTAGTAGGCATTTAATAAATGTTGAATCAATCCCAAAGAGTAGGTTTTTTTTTTAAGACTTCAGGGAGGTAACCTTGGGGGGAAGAGCCCTTTAACCTTTAAGTCAGCCCTGTGCATGCTTCTCCTCCCCCCCAGGATCCAAGCGCCAAGATTGGCCAGAACTGTAGCATTGGGCCCAATGTCAGCCTGGGCCCTGGTGTGGTGGTAGAGGATGGCGTGTGTATCAAGCGATGCACAGTGCTGCGAGGTGCCCATATCCGTTCTCACTCATGGCTTGATTCCTGCATTGTGGGCTGGAGCTCCCGTGTGGGCCAATGGGTGAGCAAGGGATGTGGTAGGGAATGGGTGAATAGCAGGACCTGGGGAGGGGACAGGCAGCTGGTTGGAGAGAGGGTTGGTGGGGGGGAAAGGAGGTGGGGAGCTTCTTCCTTCCTGAATCCTACCTCTTCCCCTACCTGCCCCCAGGTGCGCATGGAGAACGTGACCGTGCTGGGAGAAGATGTCATCGTGGGCGATGAGCTCTACCTCAATGGGGCCAGTGTACTGCCCCACAAGTCCATTGGCGAATCAGTGCCTGAACCTCGAATCATCATGTGAACTGAGGTGCAAGGCTCAGGTGTTTCTGTGCCTCCAAGGGGAGGGAGCTGGAGCCCTCTCTCCCCAGCCCGTCACCACAAAGGGAAGGAGAAGGCCCCTGTAAATAGCTCTGTTTATAATGGAAGAGTTCAAACAAAGCTGGCGTTATATTGTTTAAGCATGGCTGTGTGTGCATTGTGCAGCAGGGATCTGGCTGTCTCTGCAGCCAGCCTCGCCCCGCTTTTCTTGGAACTTGATCTAGTACCTCCCCTTACTTGACAGATGGGGAAACAGGACCAGGCTCTTGTCTCACACCTAGAAAAAAGGCAGGGCGGGGCTATATGGAATAATAATTTAATACTCACACCTGTAACTGCCCACTCCCCACCCCCTTGTAAAGCCCGTGCAGGGAGGGGAAACCGCTGTCCTTCCTGCATTGGGAAGAGCAGGGAAGAACTGCTGCTAGGAAGCGGCCTCTCACCCCCAGGGCAGGCCCAGGCTGGCGAGGGAGCTGTCCGGAAAGGGAGGCTTCTACATAGGGACATGTGCCCATCCTCCCTCAGCCTTCCCCCTGGACCCCAGGGAGCAGGCTGGGGCTCCCACCCTGAGACAGGGGCCTAAGACGAGGAAGCTGGCTTCTCGTAGTCATCCACCCCAGTGATTGTAGCTTTGCAGAAGAAACAGTCTTTGTTGTTCATCAGGTGCTGGTTGATGCAGGCTCTGGGATGGGGATGGGGATGGGGAAGGGGAAGGGGAGGGGTGGGCAGAGAACCAAGTTTCAGAGTCTTCCTTAGTCCCCTGCAGCCTTGCCCTCCCCCAGGCCAGGTACTCACTTGCAAGACTTGTGGCCACAGGGCTGGAACACAGCAGAGATGGGGTGGGCATAGCAGATGGGGCACAGGTCTTCTTCACTGGTGGGCTGCGTGGGGAGAGAAAGGGGAGTCCGGAGACTTTCATCATACATGACTCTCCCCAACATTTCCCACGGGGAAAGTGATCTTAGCTCTGCAGGAATCTCCATACATACATATAAGCAGATGTCTTATTTGCACAGAAACCCAGGCACACATGCACGAGCACACACTCACATAAAACAGCGTACAAACACACACAGATGGCTTAGGGGCACAGGGATGGTGTGCACACACTCACCAGGGTAGAGGCGGCTGCCTGCTTGGACTCCTCACTCAGATGGCCCAACATCTGATTCACTTTAGCTAATTCCTCCCGGCTGATGTAATCGGTGTCTGGGGAGAGTGAAGGTAAATCTCGTCCTGTCCGTACCCCTACTCTAGTCCTGGTGGCGTCTTAACTTTGGGATGGGGGTCCTCACCTCCCCGGCTGCTCTTGGGGCCCTGCTTTTGGCATGTTGGTGCCCCTCCTGTTACCAGAGAGAGCTTAGCTCCTCAGTTCTGGCCAGTGCCCGGAACGTGGGGGCAGGGTGGTTGGTGGAGTTGAACTCCTTACCTATTTTCTCCTAAGCACAGTGATTAGATAGCTGAAGAATGGCCTCTGGAAAAGGCAGAAGAACTGAACAGCCTCCCAAGTCCTGAGATGTCCAGACCCTCATTTCTACAGCCCTTACAATAACCCTATCTGAGGCAGACGAAGGAAGGGTTATTACCCCTTTTTGACAGTTGAAGACACTGAGGTTCAGAAATATGAACCGATTTGCCCAAGCGCATCCTCATGCTGGAGCTGGATTCTGACCCAGGCCTCCCAACTCCAAGCCAGGGCTTTTTATTCTGTGCCACTTGGCCTTGCAAGGGGAAATCTGTCTTGAATCTTGTACTCACAGCTCTGCAGGGAGAAGTGCTTCCCCTCGGGAGGGGGTGGTGTGGCCCCAGAGGCTGTGGGCTCTGGCTGGCCCAGGAGGTACTGGATGGAGCGGAGCTGGAAGCAGGGGTCCGCTAAGAGCACTTCGGTGGCTCGCTTGGCCCTGGTGGGAGGACAGACACATGGTCAGAGCCCACTTGTGATGCAGACACCCGAGATCCTAAGAGATCGCCATCCTTTCACTGCAGTTGTTGAGATGAATAGGAAGAATGAATGGCAGCCACTGCCTCCCACAGTGTAGCCATCCGTCCTGTCCCTGGAGAGGCTGACCAGGGATGAGCACCCCCATGGGACAAAGACAAAGAAAGAGTACTTCCATCAGTCACTTCCTTTGGTGAAGCCAGAGGAAAACCAATCCCAGGAGCACCTGAATCTGGTTCAGCACCAGGCAGCAGACAGCTCCCAGCACCACTTACCTAGGGAGCTGAGGTTGCCTTTTCCTCCCTCCCCCTCTGACACACAAGACTGATCTGGGGACTTGGAGTTGGAAGGGACTTTAGAGATCATCTGATCCAACAACCACATTTTAAATCTTAGAAAGCCAGACCCAGAGACAGGGTCATACCAAGTATCAGCGCCGGAACCCAGGCCCTGTGACTCCAAGTCCAGTGTTCTACCCCAGTCCAGCTGCTCAGGAGGCGGTGCTGGTCGCAGCTACCGTCCAACTCATGGTTCCCTTCCAGGGATTAAACAGCCTGGGGCTTGTTTTTGCCTTTAAGTTTCTGGGAGTCTGGGAGGGCTGAGTCCCCAGGACTGCTCCAAGCTCAGCTGCTAGCGCACATGCCAGCTTCAGCTTCCCTCTCAGACCCACCTTCCAGCCTTTTGTGGTCGGTCCCTGTCACTCTCCTTCACACTCAAGTCACACTGTGCTTTCCTGACATACAGCCCATATGTCATGGAATCTTCCCTCTTAGGGGCTCAAGTCCTTCCTTCCTCTGGGAAACCTTGTAATAGGGAAAGAACATGCCTTCGCTCTTCCATACCTGGACCCAGAAACCCATTCCATGGCAAAACAGAGACTGCACAGCTGACACAGACAGAAGGAAAACAGGCTTGTGTTGCCCAGTACTTCCTCAGGCTTGCTGGGAGGTAGACTGTGAGCTCCTTGAGGTTGCCTCTTTTTTATCCCTAACACATAATGGGTACTTAATAAATGTTTACTGATTGACTAGTAAGGGGGCAGGGGGTAGTGTCAGGGACAGACACTTTTTTTTTAATTTAAAATTTTTTTTGCAGACATCTTTCAAAGGATAAAAACAACATAGAGGTGTACAGGTCTGCCCTGGGCAGACCAAATATGGAATATTGTTTTCAATTCTGGAAGTTACATTATAGGAAGGATATTCACAAGCTGAAATGTACCTGGAAGAACACAACCAGGGTAGTGAGGGGACCTGGAAAGGAGAAGACTTGGGGGCAGGGAGGGAAAGAGGGCAAGAAGAGAAAGGTTAGAAAGACCTAGGCGCCATCAAGTATGTGAAATGCTGTCAGAGAGGAGATTTAGAGGCCTGCTTGGCCCCTGTGGGCAGACCCAGGAGCAGTGGATCACAGACAGGCAGATTTTGTCTTGACATGAAGAAAAACTTCCCAAGATGGAATGGGCTGGCTCGAGAGGGAACGAGTTCTCATTAATGGAGATCTTTACCACTTCTCAGGGATATTACTGTAAAGGGGATTTCTATCGAGGTCCTTTCTAATTCTGAACAGCTGCTCCCATAGCACCAAGATGTTGGACCCTGTTGTCCTAACTCCAAGGGTTCCTCTTTCCCAGCCTAACCTCCATATAACCTTCATTCTCTACTGGGCTAAACAAGACCCCACCCCCAAACAGACCCTGAACCCTTCCAATCTGGGCCAGCAATTTCTTCAGGATTCAGTGGACAAAGAGTGGGTCAGCAGGACATGCGTAGCAGTCCAATAATACAGACATACCCTCTGAATCCAAACAAGGCAACACCAAATATCCTTTCTGACCTCCCCAGAGAAGTTTGTGGGATGTATACCTACCTTGATCCATATAGTGCATGCCTCCACTACCCTCACTGCCACACTGAATTACAGATGGAATGAAGCCATGTTTTAGAGGAGAGGTGGAGAAAAGGGAGAGTGGCCTGAAGGCAGACTGATGGCTCTAGGCACATGGAGTCCTGAAGGAGGTGGCCTTCTGGCATTCAGTGTCTCTGGAAGCTCAAGGGCCAGTGGTACCTGGGTCACTGCCCTTGGCAGCAGTACGTGTGGGGAGAGGGGGGAAGGAGAAGGCAAATCAATACAGCAAAGTCACCACCAATAAGCTGTGACCTCTAGAATGTCTTCGATTCCTACCGGCTGGAAGTGAGCAACTGGAGGTGGAGGGCACTGATAAAAATTCAGTATTCAGACTGAAGCAGCCCTGGCTATGAGATCCCTTGGGAAGGGCCCCAGGCATCCCATCCTTACACTACCCCCAATCCTTTTCTTAGGGAAGGGCTGCCCTCACATCCATCAGAGCAGGGAGAGAGGAAAAGAGAATGGAGGCATCACAATCCTCTGAACCCCAGGAAAGACAAGGGTGAGGTGTTCACATCACACGCTTCCCAAGGATGAGAGTGACGTCCAACCTCTCCAAGGCAAGAATCCCTTCCACAGCCTCCTGGACAAGGACGCTCAGGGGACAGAGGCACTATTGAACAAGGCAGACCACTGGGCACTCCAGTATCTTCAGGCAGCTCTGTTATTAAGTTCTTCCTCCTCCTTCCCCCCATTCCCTCACCTGGGGCCTAGCTCTGTCCTCTGGGGCTGTGTGTACATGACAGCGGCCCCTCCCTCTTTCAGATGCTTGAATCTTCTCTCCTCTAGGCTGCCTCCAAGCTCTAGGACCGACAGCCTGGTCTAGTGGAAAATATGGTGGATTTGGATTTAGAAGACCTGGTGGAAGACCTCTGGTCCACAACTGACTGGCCATCTGGCTTGAGCAAGTCATTTGCCCCTCTCAGCTTCACTCCCCTTCCTCATTTCCCTAAAATATAGACAGTAATACTCCCACCACCAGGGACTGTTTTGTGGCAGATCGAATGAAATCATGTACATAAAGCAATTTCTAAACCCTAATTAAATATGATGGAAATGCTCATGATTATCACCATCCCAGTTGCCCTCCAGACACACTCTGCCAGTGTGGTGCCCAGAAATGGACACAATATTCTATGTGCGCTTTGCCCCTTTCCTTCTTTCCCCTCTACCATCTCTCTTTCACAAAACGCAGTCAAAGACAAAACACACTGTCCTAGGAAAGGAGGATGGCAGGCTCAGTCCCAGGGAGCCATGTGGGTGCATGCTGTCCTCTGGCGGTCAGCCGGAAATTGCAAGCCATTCATTAATTCCCTGGGCATCCTCCTCCTCCTCCCCTTCCTTCCCCTCCCCTCCCCTCCCAAGGACCAATCGGAGGCCTGGTAGCCCCACCCCCTCACCCTACCCAGCTCCCAGCTGGGCCACCAGTGTAAATACCAACAGACTGAGCAAGCCAGAGACAGCCAGAGAGAGCAGGGAGCAGCAACTAAGACGGCTGAGAACTAAGTCCGGGCGTGGGAGCAAGGATCACAGCCTGCACCCACCAGCTGGGGCTGGTCCTACCTGGAGAAGGGGCAGCTGGCCAGGAGGTGAGGCCAAGGGGCTAGCTGGACCAGACGGTCATGCTGGCATGATGCTGGGGGATGGGGTGGGGGCCATTCCCTTGTGTGAAGGCTGAGCTCAGTACCTCCTGGCTGGGGATGGGATGGCACTGTCCAGTGCTGGGTGCACTCAGCTGAGGGAGCAGCTGGTGTCCCTTTGATGCCTGGTTTTGCCCAAAGCAATTGCCCTTTTCCTGGGTTTTCCGGGTCTCACAAGCACATCTAGCTTGCTACTCCCTTCCTACCCAGGACAGGGAATTTTGTTCTCAACTTGTGGAAGCCTGTGCCTAGAGGACTTGTTTCCCTTTCCACTTCAAAGGCTGCCAGGAACCCCTTCGGACAACTGCTGGGGTGGGGGTGGGATCTGCTGTCCAGGGGGTTGGCTGCCACCCCACCATGGCACCTCCTCTGATATTGGTCTGTATGCTGTGGCTGTGGCTGGGGAAGCTGCCCCTACTTGAGGCAGGCACCCACAGTTCCCAGGACAATGTGTCCCACGTCCTCCACCACTGCCCAAAGGTGTGCATCTGTGCATCAGACCTGCTGAGCTGTTCCAACCGAAACCTCCATGTTGTGCCTGTGCCTCTACCTGTCATGACCACGGTGCTGGACCTTAGCTATAATGTCCTCCCCCACCTCCACCCTGGTTGGCTAGCTGCCTTGCCCCGCCTGCACATCCTTCAACTGGCCCACAACCAACTGAGGAGTCTGAGCCGGGGCACTTTCCACAATGCCAGTGGACTCCGCCGTCTTGACCTGTCCTCCAATGGCCTCCATGTTGTGGGCCACCATGACTTTGAGGGGCTCACAGGGCTGGAGGAACTGCTGCTCTACAACAACCACATTGGCTTTGTGGACCACAGCGCCTTCAGGGGGCTGGGGAGACTCAGCCGGCTCTACTTAAGCTGCAACCGCCTCACCACGTTCTCCTTCCATGACCTGCACGGACTCAGCCCTGGGCAGCTCCGGGTCCTGGACCTCTCCACCAACCGGCTGGCCAGCATCCCCGTGAATGAAGTGGTCACCCTTCCTGCCTTCATCAAGAACGGTCTTTACCTGCACAACAATCCTATCCGCTGTGGCTGTAACCTCTATCACATGCTTCTCCGCTGGAGACAGCGCGGCTTCAGCTCTGTCTGTGACTATCTCGAGGAACACGTCTGCATCGCTTTTGATGTGCCCTCCTCTCGAGTGCGATTTTTTACGCACAGCAAGGTCTTTGAGAACTGCTCCTCACCAGCCCCCGGCCTAGAGCAGTCAGACGTCCACCTGGAGGTGCAAGTGGGTCAGCCACTGCTCATCCACTGCGATGCGAGTGCCCCAGCTGCCCGCTACGCATGGGTCTCCCCGAGCAATGAGCTCCTCATGTTCCCAGGCAACAAAGACAACAGCATCCGGGTGATGAGGGATGGCAGCCTGTCCATCAAAGAGGCCCAGCCCAGCCACGCTGGTGTCTTCGTGTGCCTGGCGGCCGGCAGCCGCCTCCACCACAACCAAACACATGAATACAACGTGACCGTGCGCGTTCCACCGCACGAGTCCGAGCCCTTCAACACGGGCCTCACTACGCTGCTGGGCTGCGTGGTCAGCCTGATACTGGTCCTGCTCTATCTCTTCCTCACACCCTGCTCCTGCTGCTGCCGCTGCTGCCATCCTGTGCCCCTTGTTCCACCCCAGGAGTGCAGCGCCCAGTCCTCCATCCTGAGCTCCACCCCACCCGCTGCGGATGGACCTGGGCGCAAAGCCAGCACCCACAAACACGTCGTCTTCCTGGAGCCAGTCAAAGAAGGCCAGAATGGCAGGGTTAAGTTGGCCGTCAGTGAGGACTTTGACCTTAGGAATCCTAAAATCCTGCAGGTCAAATCGGACTCGGAATCCATCAGCTCCATGTTCTCTGACACACCCATCATGTCATAGTGGTGGCAGGGCAGTCATGGGCATTGGGGGAGGCCTGTGGCAGCCACGGTCCTCTGGATGGATGGGCCAAGCCTGGCCTTGTGGGGTGGAGGAGTACCACATATGTCCATAGTGCCGGGTTTTCCTCTTTAGATCAATACCTCTGCTGCTCCGTCTGTCAGCCTTGCCTGCGTCCCATCCCTTCCTATCCATTAAACACAACTCAAACTTGCCAGAAACAAGGCCATTAGTAGCAGCTGACAATGGACTTAATTTCTCATTGGGACCAGCCCAAAGGGAGGGAGGGCAGGGGAAAGAACATAGCGTGGCCCACGGTCCTCTCTCTGTCAAAGCAGGGGCACCCCTCAAAATGGGGAGGGTGTATTGGGTATATTGGCAGACTTCAGGGAAAAAGCCAGAAGATAAAATGACTTGCTTTTCCTAGGTGCATGGCTATACAGTCTGGATCAGCATAGGGAGGAACTGTCCCGTGGGCCATTTGGGCTGTTTGAGGGCCAAGCTGCTCTGCAGCTGGAACTCCGCTGAGGGCGGTTTTACACATCACCTGCCCCCCCCCAGCATGAGCCCTAGGCTGGGCTCCCAAGAGTCTTCTGTCCGACACACAGAACAAACAGTCCCTGCCCTTTACAGGGGGCTGGAGCTGAATTTAAGCAGTCCCTCAGCTGCCAGGATGCCTTCAGGCTCCTGAGGTCAGCTCATTCCCTGCATCTACAAAACAAACAAGCAAACAAACCTTCCTGGCTAAAAAGAAATCCCTCCAGCACACGAGGGGCTGGAGCTCCAGTCTACACAGACTCAGTCTGAGCCTCCGACCCAGGGAGAGAGCATCTCTCACAGACTCAGGCCTCCTGGAAGCTTCAGCACCATTCACCTCCCCTCCAGGAGGGGAATGTTTTCCTCTTAAGAACAGTCTTTCTGCCTTTTGCAGCATTAACACCTAGGCTAGCTCACACTGCAAAAGACATGGGGCACAGGAGTGGAAGGGCCTCTCAGAAGAAATATTCATAGCTTTTATGAATAAGGGAAGCAATGTGAACATTTCTGGGCCCTGACTGCCCAGGAATTTATCTACCAGGAAAGAATCAGCCTCTACATGGATGGATTCCTTGAGGTCTTCCTCAAAGCTGATTTGGCATTAGACTTCCCTCTGCTCCCCTCAGGACTCCTGCTGAAACTGGAGGGGAGGAGGGTTCAGACTGACAGGGAGGCGGATGAGCCCCTCCCTTCCTCAGAACTTGGTATGGTCCTCTAAGAACAACACTCCCCAAGAAAAGGAAATCTGGTAGATGTTGTTGGAGATCCTGGCAGCTGGTTGAGAATCCCTGCCTGAGCTAACGCTCCCATTATCACCCTGCTCCCCATCTCTATGCAGCAGTCTTTGGTAGTTCTGCAATGATTTAATAAAGGCCCCAAGGACAGTCACCCATGCAGCCTCTTCATTCGCCACAAAGTCAACTTGAATTAAAAAGGTCTATTTTTCTCAATTTCTAGTCTGAACATCTTTCCTCCCACCATCTTCGAGGGGCTAGGTGAGGGCCCCCCTTTCCTCCTGCCTGTATTTATCTGGTTCCAGTCCAAGCATCTCCTGTCTGAGACAGTAAATCTAGATTTAGGTGTGGGTGCCATGAGAATCCCCAGGGCATCTGCCAAAGGCCCCTATCTTGCTACTTTTGAGCATTCTAATCACTCCTCACCTAGAGAGCGCCACCTAATACCGATTTGACTCACTCTGAAACATTCTTGTAGAAATGCAATTTATACGTGAGTCCAAATATCAAAGGGAGAACTACAGTCCATATTCTGGTGAGGGCCATTTCCTTCCTCCTTGTCCCTGGGGTTCAGTCACAGTCCCTGAAAAATTCATGTATGACACCAACTGGTCAAATTCCTGCCTTGAGCATTGCTAGGACAGGTTCAGAGGCAGAGGCAGCCGCACTCCTTCTCCTCCTGGTTCTGGAATATGCCACTTTTATTATCCTGGGCAAACCCACTGAATGGCCCTGGGCAAGTAATTTATTTTCTCTGGACCTTAATTTTCCCATTTGTAACGTGAGGAGCTAATCCTTTGTTTCTCAGAATAAAACATGAGAAGCTCAGCAGGAGTCCTGGGAGGTGGGAAGGGGCCAGGTAACTCCATGAGATTGCTACAGATTTTCTAAGGACTTAAAAATCTGCTTTCTTGGGGATAGCCAAGAGATATTGTGCCCACTGCCAAAGGTTGGGCCTTCCAGTGGTCTGCTACTAATACTATTTATCACCCACGTGACCCAGGACAACTCACATCCCCTTTCTGGGCTGATTTTAGCATTTGTAAAAAGAAAAAAAGGGGGGGGGGCATGGATGAGTGGGCAGGGGTGGGGTTGGACTTGAAGGTTATTTCCTGTTCTCAGCACAATAATCTTATAATTACACATTTCCCTAGTTTGGCCTAGTTTGAGTTTTCTTCTTTCACTATCACTCTCCTGCTCTGGTAAGGGAGATGGGTCAACCTCTTGGCCTCCAATGCCTCTGTGCATGACTGAGGTGGAACAAAATCCCTCTCCCCCAAGGGATCTGGAGTCTGGAAATCTGGGCTTTAAGCCTAGCTCTCCTATTTCATTATCTATGTGACCACAAGCAGACCCTTTCCCCTTTCGGGGCTTCAGGATGCTCTCAAAGGTCTCTTCCAGCTCCAGATCTGATGATCAGATGGTTTCAGCACGGTTTGCTGCTGCTGACGTTCGGTCATTTTCAGTCGTGCCCGACTCCCTGTGACCCCACTGGGGTTTTCTTGGCAAAGATACTGGGGTGGTTTGCCATTTTCTTCTCTAGCTCACTTTATAGATGAGGAAATTGAGGAGCGCAGGGTTAAGTAACTTGCCCAGGGTCACACAGCTAGGCCAGACTTGAACTGGGGTGTTTCTGACTCCAGGCCCCATGCTCCATCTACTGCGCCACCTTGCTGCCTTTAGCACAATAAAGTTATTCAAGAAAATCTGAGTGGAAAAGTCAGAGAAAGGAAAACAAGACACAGATGCCTAGAGATGGATGAGTTTACAGAGCTCAGCCTTCTGTTCTTACCATGTCTACGGTCTGGCCACAGAAAGGATCGGTTAGTGTGGCCCAAGGGACAGACTGCCCCTGTTCCTACATCTACTGCAGCCTGTTACAAGCTCCCCCTTTAATACCTCTTCCTCCTTCCATACCCCAGATCCAGGCCTGTCTATCTAGTCAGAGGGAAACTAGGTTTTAATGAGCTTAATAGGACACAGCTGGAGTAATGAGGATACAATTATACATACATACGTATATATGCATTATATTTACATGTGTGTGTGCATATCTGTGTATATTCCAGATTATTATTAAACAAAGGGCCATGGGATTTAATGCTGCAAGGGACTTTAAATGTCACCTGATCAAAGGATGTTATAGATACAGAAAATTAGACACAGGAAAGGGGAAGGACTTGCTCAAAGTCACATAGATGGTAAGAATAGTGCTAGGCCTGGAACCCAGGTCTCTGGCCTCCACAGGCAGTGCTCTCGCCTCTAGAACACATCTCCCAGAGAACTTATCCTCCCTTGCCACACCCCACCTCACCAAGGCACTTCTATCCATCTCTAGTGATTTCCCATCCAAACAAGAGGGACGGATACCACTGTCTTCCACATTGCTGGTCTCCTCTCAGATAAGTTCAGAAAGCCCCTGGAATTGACTCCTGACACACATGGTGAAGAAATCCTTCTAGGGAATTCTGCCTTGGAATTTTCCCTCCCTCCACTGGCTATGTTAAACCACCTCTACGTGAGCTGGAGCTCCCAGCTGGAGTGGTCTCAGTGTCACATCCTCAGTCAGCAGCTCTTCTGTGTCTCTCCTAAGACTTGGGGGTGGGGGGAGGCCGGAACCCCAGAGAGCAGGAGACACTCAGGGAGTGCTTCTGAGTAGCAGATCTGGCTCAGAGGGAGGGTGCCAGACAGGGCCACAGAAACCCTTCAGCAGGCATTGTGACCATCCTCCCTCCTGACAGTGAATGAAGAAAGAGAACCAAGGGTGGCCAGTGGGCAGAGTTCCAGGTCGCCCATTGTAGGACCTGAGTCAAGTTATTTACCTCCTCTGGACATCAGTTTTGCTCTCTCTGAAGTGAGGGAGACTATTCCCTTGTGAGACAGTGGGAACCTTGGGAGATAAGAAGGAGGTAGGTAAATCCATGGGATTACTACCGATTCTCTAAGGGATTAAATCTGACTCTTGGGGTTCAGCCAGAAGACATGGGGCTCACCGCCAAAAGCCATGGGGCTCACCGCCAAAAGCCAGGGCCCAGTTAGGGGAGTCTGGTAGGAAGATTGTTCAGGGCTAAGGAAGATTTTAGGAACAAAGATGGGAAACATTTTAAAAAGGAAAAACCCAGAGTCTGATTGGTACCATGCCTGTCTACCTTCTCTCTATCAACTGTCCAGACTAAGGAAGAGCTGATCCATCCATCATACCCACAGCTTAAGTTAGCTGGGATAAAGAAGGGAAAACATGACTGAAACACAAAAACACAGAATGTATTACAAAGCGAAAGACAGAGTCTGCAGGTCATCTCTGCCAGTTCACAGGAACACAGTATTTAAAGCAGAAAGGGACCTGCTCTAGGAGGCTAAATGACTTGTCCAACATTATAATGGTTTTCAGTCATTTTTTCAGTCATGTCCAACTCTTCCTGACCCCATTTGGGGTTTTCTTGGCAAGGATATTGGAGTGGTTTGCCATTTCCTTCTCTAGCTCATTTTCAGATGAGGAAACCGAGGCAAACAGGGTTAAGTGACTTGCCCAGGGTCACATAGTTTGGAAGTATCTAAGGCCGGATTTGAACTCATGAAGATGAGTCTTCCTGACTCCAGGCCCCACACTTTAACCACTGTACCACCTAGCCATAATTTGAACCCAAGTCTTCTGGCTCCAAACCTAGAAGTTCTCCACTATCCCAAAGTGCCTTCCACTGACATAGACAACTGAGGGCTGGCAAGGTCACAGGAATATGTTTTGTGACCAGCAGAGGAGATAGCAAAGTTGGATTTAAAGAGGTGAGAAAACTATTATCTACTCTTAGTTTAAGGGAAGGTAGGTATTTAGTGCTGGAGAAAGAGATGGCAAACCACTCCAGTATCTTTGCCAAGAAAACCCCAAATGGGGTCATGAAGAGTCAGACACGACTGAAATGACCAAACAAGGCCTTTAGTACACGTAAAAGAATGGGCTTTCTCATTGATATCTGGTAGATTTCCAGGCACCAGAAGAGCTCCCACTTCTCCAATACTTCCCTTCTCTTGGGAAAAGGAGCCTGGACTCCCTCTTGCCCATAGGATTCAGGAGAGAGGAAGTGAGTTTTCCAGGCCCCTGCTCTTGCCAGGGGAACATATTGCCTCCCACTTGAAGCTTTTAAATGTCAGGTGTTACACAAATACCAAGCATTATTAATAATTTAAAAACCATCCAACGAAATATGGTCACAACCAAGCATCCTGGTGGGAGTATACTGGACTGAGAGCCAAAAGAGGAAGGTTCCAGCTCAATATCTTAGTGACCTGAGGCACTTGTCATATAACCTCTCTGTGCCTCAGTTCTTCAGTTCTATTAAAGCCTTGTCTATGCTTCCCAATGGATGTGATCAGACAATATATATGGAGTACCATGGGTTCCTTGTAATTAAGTAGCTCTAAATGGGTGATTTAAAGAAAGACACGTAATAGCAGTTTCACCCTGCCTTGGGCTGGGCTGGGGACCAACAGGTTAGATATTGCTGAGGCCCTGGGATGGTGCTTCAAACCACACTGCTAAAGGACACAGGGTCAATGCCAGCTCTCGTGCCTTCAAGGTTCCCTAGGTCTCTGCAGCGGAATAGAGTGGCCTTCCTGGCCCTCGCCCTGGCCTGTTTGCTGGCAGGCAGAGCTCTGAAAATTTAATGAGGGTCCCTTAGGGATGCAGCAAAGCTCTCTGCAGCATTGACAGACAACCCTGCAGCTGCCCAGATCCAAGGTCTGAGTGCCCCAGGCAACAGACTGAGTGCCAAGAGCAGAGCTGAGAGGATACAGAGTAGTGCTGGTGAGGGCTAAGATAGGATTACCCTCCTCTTAAAGTTGGTGAAAAGTGGATGTTACTACTTCACTACCTGGGCAATATTGGTAAGGTGGGCTTTGATGGACACTTCCCTGAAGGTCAGGAGCCAATCTGTGAGTAATTAGTATCTGAGAACAAACAGCAACTGGTCATAGGCAAGTTTAATTGGTTTTTTGGGGTATCATTTTCAAGGTGTGCAAATGGACTGAAAGTTGACCCCTGGATGGAAGGGCAAGTGCCCCAGGGAGCAGGAGCATAGGCTCCAGGAATGGCTGACAGCCATGAGGAAACCATCTCTAGGAGACCATCAGCCACATGGCAAGGCCAGGCTCAGAAATGACTTAGATCGGCAAAGGGGGAGCACTCAGCCCAGTTGTCCTGGCAGTTAATGACAGATTAGGGACACTTGGGAGAATATTCTCAGGCTTTTGAAACTAAAGTCTTTGGCTCTATTTTATCATGTTCTTTCCCCTTAAAGTCCTTTCTGAAAATTTTTGGGAACTAAGGGAAACGGAAAGAAACTCAAGTTAAGAAATTTGGGGGCTTTGAAGAATCTAGGGGTCATTCTACAGAGGAAGAAGCTAACGCTCAAGTCACATAGCTCAGATGCAGCAGAATTGGGACTCAAAGGCAACTCTCAACTCCCAGTTCTGGGCTTTTTCCACCATAAAGTAGTATTTGGGATTAAGTGTGAGTCCTGTCCCCCTTCCTATAACTTGGATGGTGTCTAAGTGTCTTCCAACTCTAAATTCCACGACCACTGTACAAGGCACTCTTCTCCCTCAAAGAGGCCGGACCGGCCTGAATCAGCCCCTGAGAAGGCATGGCAGCTATTGCCTCC